TGTTTTGAAAAAGTATTTTATCTAACCAAGGGCATAGAGTAGGTTGTTTAGGCTGGGGGAGATCGCTTGTTGCTTAGTTGTTTAATTGCTGGCCTCGCTAGAGGAAAAGCTGTATCAACAAAGTTCCGGAGCTGGAAGGGGGGTTACTTGGGGGGGAGCTGGAAGGGGGGTTACTTGCTGGGCTTGCTACACATTTCATCACATCAGCAAGTTTAACCTGTTACATAGCTATATAAGGCAGACACCCACTGGGGTGTGGGTGCTTGCTTTGCGAATGATTGCCAAGCGCCACTTTCTGCGCAGAAATAAAGATTAAGTTGGATCCTTCACCCCTGTGTGTTTATTGGCACAAGCGCACCGGGCACGAACTCACTGTCCTTTGGGGACAACAGAGGCAGGTCCTGGAGTTCACCTGGCCAGAAAACTACTAAACATTTTCAGGAGCTTAGAGCAGGAAGAAGATCAGGGATTAATCTACATGTGAAGTTCTGGACACAATCTGATAGTGCTGAGACCTGCCAGGACTATCCACAAGTGCAGTGAGAAGATGCTGGAACTAGTGAACTTCTGAACTTTGATGAAGTCATGACCCAATTTAGTACCTGAGCGTGCATGGTAATGTCCGTATTTGGGTGCCAAAGTATGTGGCATAATTGACAAGGTTCTTTGGGTAATCAGGGGATCCCAGCTTCCACATGGGAAGAGGCATCCACTTCCAATGTTCACAGGGAACCCCATATCAGTACTTTATATTCTAGGTGACACATCACTTTCGTCATAGGCTTACTGAATTTCTATGCCTGCTGCTCCTTGTTCCAGGTCCTTAAGGTGATCCACTCTTACTGGTCACAGCTTTTGTTTCTGGCCCTAAAACAGTCAAAGCCTGGAGATGGTCGCAGAGGTGACACCTGCCCTTGGTTCCTGCTTCACTGACATGTAGCTGCCTGACACAGAGGGCACATGGAACAGCCTCATGTGCCTTCTGTTTCCAGGCCACAACCCTCTAAGAGACAGGCTAACACAAAGCATGACTAGGTGTGACAAGATGTTCTACTGTTAAGAGGAGATAAGATCAGGAACCTCAGGACACTGCTCCATGAGGGCTTGGAGTGTCAGAAGATCATATAGGTCCTTTCTGTGCTCTTGTGGTGAAGGCAAAGTTTGAGAACAACCATTCTGTCATGAAAATGACCAGTAAGCCTGTGGCAGTGTAACAAGGAGATTATCTTCGTGTTAATGTTTAACAAGTAGATGATACTTACTGTGGCTGCTGTGGAGCAACAAGAAAGATGACATCATCAGATGGTGGCGGCAACATTAACTGCACCTGAAGAGGAAAGTAATAAAATAATTGCTCACTGGAAACACCTTGTAGATAAATAAGAAGGGAGGAGTTGAAAATATCCTCTGGAAGGGGAACGTGAGTTCGTGTGAAGTGACAACCGAAGTGATTCATGTGAAGGCACAGAGTGGATGAAGGTCAGCACTTAGGGTGAGAAGCTCCCTGACTGCTTACCAGGTTGGGAACAAATGGACTATACTTTGATCCCAGGGTGAGATAACTGGGGGATTTGTAAGTTTGAGAGACATTATGAAGAAACAGTGAGCCACGTGTATGATCAGAGGTCAGGAAAACAGACCTTATGATGAGAGGCTGAGAGCCATGGGACTCTTCAGCCTGGAAAAGTGCAGGCTCAAGGGTGATCTGGTGGCCACCTATAAGTTTATCGGGGTGCTCATCAGGATCTGGGGGAATGTCTGTTCACCAGAGCGCCCCAAGGGATGACAAGATCGAATAGTCACAAACTCCTCCGCGACCATTTCAGGCTGGACATAAGGAAGAACTTCTTTAGTGTCCAAGGTTTGGAATAGACTGTCATTGGAGGTGGTTCAAGCACCCACTTTGAATGCCTTCAAGAGACATTTGGATGTCTATCTTGCTGGTATCCTATGACCCCTGCTGACTTCCTGCTCTTTGGGCAGGGGGCTGGACTCGATGATCTCCCAAGGTCCCTTCCAGCCCTAATGTTTATGAAATCTATGAAAGGTAACACTGAAAAAGCACAGAGAGTGGGTAAAAGAAACCCCTGTCTGTAAAGACTGAGACTGTGGGGAACTTATTTGAGATTTTGTTTGTCTATATATTTGCTATCCCTGGAAGATTTTGAGCCATAATACAGGAGGCTTTGGAACTGATGTGAGTGAAATTGTGTAAAAAAAAATTATACGGCAGATACAGAACTTGTAAACAACAAAAAGAGTCCTCCATGTGCTAACATATACTTTTTTCTCCTGTGAAGGTGTGGCAGGAGATCAAGCCATGGAGGAGACTTGAGGGTTTTCTTTTTGATTTGCCATTCTTGCACATTACTCTTTCACAGATTTTGATGCATTGGCCAGGAACTGAACACAGATGGAAAAGATGAGTGTCACTCCTCAACCCCCCACAAATTGACAACAATTGTTGTCAAATTGTTAGATTTGTTAGACTAACAAATTGTTAGTCTATTACAAGGGCAATAGTCACAGCTGGCAGAATTAGTAAGGGTGTGTACACAGGAAGCTGAAGCTACAATAATGATTTTTTTCTAGGCAGCAGGATTTGAGCGAAAATGTAGAAGCCTGACAGATGTTCATAAGTTAGATAGGGGAAATAACCAGGCTTCCAAAAATGACTCTTTCTAATGATGTAGAGGCTTTTCTAGAATCGTTTGAGAGGGCAGCTAAAGCTGCTGGATGAGACCACACAGAATAGGCTATATAACTAGGACCCCCTTTAACCGGGCCTGCACAAGCAGCCTATAGGGTTCTATCTAGAGAGGAAGGTAGAAATTATGAGATAGTAAAAGGGGCAATATTATATAGACTGGAGATATCTCCTGAAGCCTACAGGCAGTGGTTTAGTGTAAAGAGAAAGCCAGAAGAGCTGCAGCCTAGACTGTTGGCTCAAATCCTAAGTGACACGGTAACACATTGGATACAGCCAGCACGAGAAAACAGCCGAGGAAGTGTTAGATTTGATAGTGTCAGAACAATTTGTGATAGATTAAGAAATAAATGCACAGAGATGGGTAAAAAGATACCAACCCCAATCTTTGGCCAAAGCTCTGAAAGTAGCAGAGGATTACAAGAATGCTGAGATAGGCCTAGAACCTGTTAAGAGAGAGAGAGCAGAAAACATGGGGGCTACTATGAGACAAGATAATAATAAGGGAATGAAGAGAGAAAGTTGGAAGCCAGTAGCTAGAGTAAACAAAAGTTAGGAACCAAGAGAAATAATTTGTTTCCGATGTGGCGAAAAAGGCCATAAAGCAAAGTTCTGTTATAAGAAGGGTGTGAATGAAAGGATGCATGAATATCCCCATGAAGAAGAAAAGGACTGTAGTTTGGGGAAGCATAAAGGTCCCTGGAGTAAAGCTAAACCTCTAGTAGAAGTGAAGATAGGCGACTTGATAATGCCTGCAAATGTAGACACCAGGTGCAGCCAAACTATGATACAGTCAGATTTAATCCCAGCTATGATAGGGAAACTGAAAATGACTCTAAATATGGTTTGTATACATGGTGCCTCATATACTTACCAGAGGAAAAAGTTAAGGCAAACAGTGTTAAGTCAGAACGAAGAAATAGCAGTAGGACTAGCAGAGTTGCTTCCTTGCCTTCCTTGCTTTTAGGAACAGATTGGCTCCATTTGAAAGTAGTAGAAGCAAAAGCTATGGGCAAATTAAAAACCCAAGAATATTTAAGACAAGTAGAAGGGGGTTTTGTAGGAATGGGACCTCAAGGAGAGGAACAGAAAGAAGAGATAGATCTTGAAGCTATGATTGGAGATGGACACTTTAGAGATCACCAAAAGCAGGAACCATTCATTTGGAACATTTTTGAAGAAAGTCTGGCCGAAAGAGAGGAGGAAGTACTTAACCCAGCATTAGTAGATACAATTCCACACTTTGAGGTTAGAGATGGCATTTTATACAGAACAGGTAAAGGCGGGGAAGGTATTTTACAAATGTTGGTGCCCAGGCAGTACTGGATGCAAATGTTTAAAGTAGTTCATACGCTTCCTATGGACGACCATTTAAGCAGAGATAAGACTGAAGCTAGGTTAAAACAGAGAGTATCTTGGCCAGGACTTTATAAGATTGTAGAAACATTTTGTAAGGAATGTCCTGAGTGTCAGGGTATAGACCCACTAGAGTACTCTTGGTATCAATGACTATCATAGCAAGACCTTTTGAAAGAATTGCATTGGACATTGTGGGTTCCTTCCCAAGAAGTAATGCAGGCTATCAGTATGTACCGGTAATATTAAACTATGCCACAAGGTTCCCAGAAGCTATCCCGCTGAAGACTATTACAGCCTGCAAAGTAGCAGAGGAATTGGTAAAATGGGTAGCAAGAGTGGGAATCCCTCAAGAAATTTTAACAGATCAAGGAAAGATGTTTATGTCTGGAGTCTTGCGAGGAATCTGCCAGACCCTTAAGATAAAGCAGTCAAGAACCTCCGTTTATTATCCTTAGATGGATGGTCTAGTTGAACAGGTTAACCATACACTTAAAGGGATGATAAGATCCTGTATTCAGGAAGACCCAAGAAAATGGGAAGCCGTAATTCCACCATTGTTGCTTTCCATCAGAGAGGCTCCACAAGCCTCCACTAGTTGTGCTCCTTAAGAAAATTGAAGAAAGTGGGGAAACACCATTAGGTTAGGAATTTGTCTAATATGATCACCTGTCAATTATCTACGGATCAATCAATATTAAAGAAAGTCAAAAGAGATGCATGAATCTAAGTCTCTCATATTCTGGCTTGTATAATGGTCCACTGCTGATCAAAACACTGTTAGCTAATTATACAAGAGATACTTTATGCCAGAGGTACCCAGGAAATATTTAGATTCTAAAATTAACATTTAGTCTCAGAGCCTGAAAAATATTGGCTCTTTGTTTCCAAGATGGGAGGAGCAGTATAAGGAGGTATTTATATTGGATCTATAGACAAATAATATTCCATCACCTTAAGCTTTTTGAGGGTGCAGAGCAGCATGTATTCTTGTGTTGCATTGTTGTGAGATAAGGAAAGATAGGGAGAAAGGGAGTGAGGGGGAAGAGGTAGGACGATAGACAGACTAACCAACTATTAAGTTTACTATGTGATACTCTTCCTCATTTTAATGATTTTCCTCTTAAAACAGTCCCTGTCACATCAGTATCACCATTTCTTGATCAAAACAGTGTAGAACTTCAGTGAGAGCATCAGAATCTGCTCTGGCTTTCTTTCTCTTTCTGCTAAGGGAGAGTAATCACGCAAACATTTTCTACATGGCTGTAAAGTGAGTGCATTTTTATTTTATTCTTTAATCATTTGGATCAGAGATCAGGGAAGAGTAAAACAAGGATATATCAAAGTGTGTGTGTGTGTGTGTGTGTGTGTGGGTGTGAGTGTAAGTGTAAGAGAGAGAGAGAGATGAAAATGAAATTGTAGAAATAGAATGTCAATGTAACATCAGGTATTGGAAAGACCTCATGTGAATAATACATACAATTCTAGCTTCTAGTCTTCGAGAAAAAAGAATTCAAACTTGAACAGATGATAAGAAGGGCAATCAGAATTATTAACAGGATGATTTAATTTTTTTTTTCTTGTCTAGCCTAGGCTAGGGTACAAAGGGTGCAACAAGGAAAATGATAGCTTTGCAACTATATAGAGAGAGGAGGTAAAAACAAGGGAGGTAAAAGAGCTGTTTAAATGAAAGGATAGTGTCAGAACATGAAACAAAAACATATGAACTGTCTATAAATCTGTATAGGTAGAGCCTTTGATGGGATTATATAATGTGTGTGTCCAAAATTCATTGGGTTGTACTTGTTGATCCTTAGGTTCCTTCTAAGCCTATGTTTTATGTGCCAGATCCACAAAAGAGTTGATGTGCTATAATATGCTCCAAGGTAAAATATAGGTGTCTATATCCAAACTTGCAATTGTGATAACAATTTTGCACCTAAATTATGCCTAAACCCTGTAAGGATTCAGAAATAATGCCTTCTTATCCAGAGGGGTCATGAGAAGCTTAGTCTAGCAGCATTTCTCAGAGCATGTTTAACACACTCACAAAGGACGGGTTTCTCACAAAATCTGGTGGTGTCCACAATTTTCCTTTAAAACATGGCTCGAGGTGGTATTGATGCCACCTTCCTTTGAATCAATAGCCCAGTGTTTAGCACACTTGCCCAGGGCATAGGACACCAATATAAAATGTCCTTGTATGTCTGAAGGGGCTGAAAATCACCCCCCCTCCCCCTCCCTCTGGTCTGGATACCTCCAAAAAAAAAAAAAATCATAAGGCTGAAGCCTAAGGTGACACTCTATTCTTTTAAGGATGCCAAGATTTGGTTGTGTACATGATTATCTAATTCCAAGTAATACCACTTATACAAGGTGGTGGTGTTCTACTTCTAGGTATGTATGTAGGCATCCATGTGCATAGGGATGCACACCACAGATATAGTGACCATCTGTGCATAAGTGTCATTTCTGGGACATAGATGACCAAATCTGTTCCTCTAGCAGGCCAGAAAACAATACAGTGGCACCCTAGCATTTAAGGCATTAGTTTTATTGGTGGTGTCTCCTCAGTTCTGGACTGAACAGTCAGGGTTGCTCTGTCTTTTTTTCTTCCCCATAACCATTTCTTGGAAAACACAGATGCAGTCCCTGAAGCAGGCACCATAAACAAGGATTCCCTCCTCCTATGTGAGTCCCCATATAATACCTGTATACAGTCAGACTCCCTTTTCTATTCTCTCATTTGCTGTCTCTGGTCCTGTTTGCCTTGAGATCTGTTCTGAATAGGGGCACAGATTAAAGACGAGGAATGGGAATTTTGCTGTTGGCTTCAATACCATGAAGAGTGTAACCCTTGTTCCCAAACCATCTCTGTTGTGAGGAAACCCTAAAAGTATGGATTTAAAATAAGTTTCAAACTGCCATGGGGTAAGAATCACTGCTAGTCCAAGCTGGTCAAAGAGTACCATTTATTCTTCCTGGAAACGTTTGGACTTTTTTAGGGTTTTGCCTGTTTGTTTGTTTGTTTGAGCCTTCCATAATTTTCTGTTTGCTAAACTTGAAAAAAAATGTTTCGTCTGACAACTTGAAACTATAAAACTACCAAAATCTCACTGTGTTTTTCTGTTTGTTAAATTTCTGGACTTCTCTTCTGTTGCTTAGCTCTCTACTAGCTACCTTCATTATCCAAATCCAGACAAAACATTACATGGTTCTACTTAATAATTTAAATCACATTAATACTAGCTGTATGGTATGAAGAGTAGGACATTAGAGAGTAAAATCAAGGTATAGATGCTATGATGAAGATGTACATAGTAAGCTAAGACATAAAGAAAGATATGGTCAGAAATTAGAATGAGAGAGATTAACAAATTAAGAAGGCTGCGTGTTTATTTTAATTAGTTATTTGCCTTTTAGGATGGGATGAAACATTTGCGCAAATCATGGTTTTTCAGATATATGATCAAAGCAAGAAATCAGGGAAAAATTCAGTATGGGGGCTGAAACAGAATTGCTTCCAGTGCTGCAACAGAATCCATGAAAACAGGTGCATGCAAACTGATAAGGTAACAAATATACAAGAACTGTCTGACCAGATACAGGTCAGTGAATTGGGCTTTTTATGTGTTCCTCCATCGTGAAATGTATTCACATGAAAACAAAAACATTTGCTATTTAAACACCCTAGATGCCTTAATTCATGGAGAACAAAGTCTGCTAAGGTTTCAAGAGACAAGAAGGGAATGAGCGCCAATAAAAATAGGGTTACTGAGATTCTTTCATTCTCCTCTTCTGAAACAATTAGTAAATTTCTATTAAGGTAAAGTTGAAGTCTCTGGATGATCTGGATATGACTGAGAGCAATTGGATAAATAGATGCCACATTTGGGTCTGAAAACCCCATGTTGGTGATGGTTAGGATTTTGGGTGCCTCTAAGGGAAGCATATAAAAAGTGGAAACAGGGAGAGATTACCAAAGAGGAGTATACATCCTCTGCTCGCGCTTATAGGGAGGCAGTTAGATGGGCCAAAGCTACCGTGGAGCTGAGGATGGCATCACAAGTTAAGGATAACAAGAAATTGTTTTTTAGATGTATAAGGAATAAAAGGAAGGCCCAGGGTGGAATAGGACCTCTACTAAATGGGCAGAAGCAATTGATGATGGACAGGGGGGACAAGGCTGAACTCCTCAATGAGTTTTTTGCCTCAGTGTTCCTAAGTAAGGGGCAAGACAAGTCTCTCACTGGGATTGCAGAGAGGCAGCAGCAGGGTGCCAGACTACCATGCGTACACCCTGAGATGGTGCAGAGTCACTTGGAGGAACTGGATGCCTTTAAGTCGGCAGGCCCAGATGAGCTCCATCCGAGGGTACTGAAGGCACTGGCTGATGTCATTGCACAGCCACTGGCGGGAATATTTGAACGCT